AGGTTCGATTTGAATCTAACCGGCCCTTTCCAACGGCCTGCCTTTTCCAACCGCCTGCCCTTTCAAACGGGTCTGGCCTTCCGCATGTGTTTTGGTCGCCAGAGACCTTTGGGTGCACAAAAGTGCCAGCCTTTCGAATTGCCTTGTAGGGGTTTAAGGGGGTTGCCGACGGTGGCGTCGTCATCGAAATGCGTGCAATCTGGTCGCCGACATTCCCGTGTTTCCGCGCGCATTGCAGTTCGCGCTATCATATGTCGACGTTGGCAGCGAGCGAGTCGGACCTCGCCTTGTCGACTGGACGAATCGTGGTCAGATGGGGTTGCAGGGGGGTCCACCAGCCATGGTCATTTTTTTTTGCTGATAACAGTCATTATCATCACGGATCAGATAAGGACGCTGGGCCTCCATCTTGGGTATGCTTGAGCTGGAGCTAATCTGCATACTGTGCATTTACGCTCCTTATACAGTCGGGGAAAGAAGAGAATTCCTGGGGAAGTTGGCTACGCAAGTGCCGGAGGGCATTCCCCTAATTATAGCAGGGAATTTTAATGCTACCCCCGACAGGAATTTGGACAGATGGAACGCCCAGGAATCCCCCTCGTTCGCCACGACCGAAGATGAACGAATGATAACGGAATTCTGTGAGACACTCTCGATCTTTGACACCTTCGCCGACTACACCCCCAAGCACGATCCTTTACATGCCTTAGGGATAATGACCCGGCATGGCTATCCAAATCTAGAATTGACCTTGTCTTCATCTCAAACGACCAGGAAGGCGCCTTGAGTTGGGCATTAATCCTCCCACGTAGCCCGCACCCAGGACCAGACCATAAAACATGCGGAATAATACTGACAATGAGGAAAAGGTCAGACCAAGGACCAGGCTTTTACAAGCTTAATACCTCCTTGCTGAAAGACCCAGCCTTTACTTAAATGATTCGTCACGAATGACTCTTTTGGCATCAGCAAAAGCACCTTTTCGACTCACACCTAACATGGTTCAACAATGGACTAGTCTTCCTAGCTAAAAAATGTAAGGACTTCTCTAAAGCCAACGCAGCTCAGCGACACCAACAGGAAATGTCCACTCATAAGGAACTACTAAGCCTGGAACAACAGGCAGATTCACAGCATCTCACTACCGCCTTACAAAATGTCAAAGACCAACTTCTGCAATACGCGCAACATAGATGGCAAGGTATTAGAATTCGGGGGAAAATGGCTAAATTGACCCAGAAAGCTACTATGGACACCCATTTTTTCTCCATGGCCACGGCGCGAGCTCGCCGGACGGTCATTGAAGCACTTTTCGACCCGGAAAACGGGGACATCATAGCTACCGACACAGCACATTGCACACTGATTACAAGGACCTTCATCAAGCAACTTTACACGTCCCATATCCCGCCCTCCCAAGAGGAACGAAGGGATCATGAATTAGAAGAATTCTTGACACCATTGGATCAACACCTCACCCTGCGGCAGCGAGAAAAGCTGGAGGAAGCACTATCCAAAAACGAGATCTGGACAGCAGTCCTTCAGATGAAGGAAGAAAAAACACCCGGCATCGACGGTTTCCCCAAGGAATTTTGGGAAACCATGTGGGGGGATCTGAGCACGGACTTATGGGAATACTATCAGGAAGTGTGGAATGCTGGGGACATGGGGGAAATAGTGGGGAGAGGAGTATTATCGCTGCTATACAAAAAGGGCGACAAAATGAATATCAGAAATTTTATACCTATTGCATTACTCACAATAGTATACAAAATGTTCTCAAAAGCATTGGCAAAGCGCATGGCGGCCATCCTTGAAGACGTCACGCACGGCCCAAATAGGATTCATGGCCGATAGAAACATACAGAAGAATATCCTATTAGTAAACGAAGTGGTCCAACTGGCCCAACGAAACAGAGCGAACGCAACCATCATATTCATTGATTTTAAAAAGGCCTATGACCACGTAGACTGAAATTTTCTAGGTCAATGTCTGAGAAAGATGAATTTTGGTCCCATTTTTCGACGCTAGGTCAGGATCCTTCATCATAATGCTACTACCTGCATAGAGCTTCATCGGTCAGTGAGACAAGGGGACCCCATCGCTCCTTATATAGTCATAATGGAGGCACTCTCGGCCAATCTTAGACAGAATAAAGACCTCTCCCGTATTAAAATCACTAACATTCCGGAAGAGGCGGTACCAATATGCTCTCTTTTTGCTGACGATCTCACCATCATGTTGGAGGCCACAGACCTGAACATGGAAGAAATTCAAAAACTAATGAATCGGTTCTGTCGTTTATCAGACATGGCAGTGAACTGGGGGCAGAGGACCGTGGGCTGGTGGATGCATCACCAAGGGGGAAGGCCCCCTGAAAACCCGAGAATCACATGGCTTCCCCCAGACGACCCGCTAAGAGTCCTGGGAGCCCTTATCACAGCAAAAGGAAAGCCGGCAACCAACGATGAATGGCTGGCAGGACCCGCAAACGCCAAA